TATCAAGGATCGTCGTCAAAAAGTTCGTTATGAATAATTGGGTAGGTGTACGTACCCAAGAGATGGGCTATGGGCCTATTGGCTGTATGGTCCAGCGATTGCATCACACGGTGAGTATGAACTATTGACTATTAAAGTCAATGGTATAGGAACAAAAAGTGACAAATTGGAAAATCGAGTTTAGCATCATCCGTAAACCTCAAATACAATCACCAACTGCAGTTGTGATTTTTTACTTTACACTCATTGAAGCGCCGTCAATGAGTGGAAACCTTGTTTCTAATTTATTGGTGTCGATCATTAATAAATTAGTTTTCCAGCCGTAAACAAAACTGATTCAAGGTCTTCTTTCTGGCTATAAAAACTCAAGAACAATCTTATACAAAAAGAATCTCTGGTTCCTGACCTGGATGATGCCTAGTTATTTAATTTCATTTACACACTACTTTATTGCACTTGCGATTAATTAAATCGGTTATGCAAGAAAAACGTTTTTAATCTCACTTGGTTGGGATTTGCTTTTAAAATGTAATCGAAAATTGTTACGGTATTTGTAAACAACATTTGTAAACATATTAATGACAGCTAGAAAAATAATCTTGATCCGAACAGCTGTTCGTTATTTCATAGATGATTATGTGATAAAAATTGGACAAAAACTTAACAAAAATCACACAAAACTGCATTTTTGAACGTCAGTAATTTTATTTACAAAGTAGTGAGGCCATATTAATGGCTAAAGACACTCTCGCCAATCCAGTGAATACATTAAAATGACTTGGATCTTGATAGGTACTCTCGTTTTCCTGGAAAGGATAGCGTAAAATGCCATCTTGAGTGTTACAGACGGACAGCAGACAGACAGACGGACAGAAATAAAGAGATAAGACTCGTTTCTGCTTCTTTAATCTTCCCAATTTTAGTGTGTGCCCTTAGTCAAATTTAGGCAAAGTAAGGCAAATTTTATCTTAAAAAGGTTGTACTCTAATGCTGTATAGCTACTCTCTGTTTTAGTTTATTATTCTTGGGATAAATAAACGTTTTTTATTTAGTTTTTTCATTTTGTAATATATAAAACGTAAAAATAACCTAAAAATATATTATTCTGAGCAATGTACAGAAAAAAAACTAATTTTTACTTTCTCCCACTATACTATAGTATATGGAGAAAGTATTGTTTTCGTCAAAATTTTCGAGTTTGAGTTTTGAGTGGATATATCCGTTTTGGGTCCCCCTGGACCCAAAAAAGTGGTTTTCAAAGTGATGTCTGTGTGTGTGTGTGTGTGTGTGTGTGTGTCTGTGTGTCTGTGTGTCTGGATGTGTACAGAGCTAGGGACTACACCTGTGGTCCGATTTCGATGAAATTTGGTATGTAGGTTCTAATCCATGGTATCTCCAGGCGTTTTTTTTCATTTTTTTGAAATTTTGATTTTTAATGGGGATTTTCCCATAAAAACCCATAAAAAACCGGAAAAATCGGATTTTCTCGAAAATGGCCCGAACGATTTTGATAAAAATTTAGTATGTTGTAGCCCTTTAAATTCTGAACAAAATGGTACTAATCCCATATCTGTAAAAATTACGGTTCAAAAGTTATGGTAAATTATGTTATTTTCCCATAAAAACCCCATAAAATAACAAAAAATAGGATTTTAGAAAAAATCCGGTTTTATTTTAACATAGTATGTTATGGTTCTTAAAATTTTGATAGTTTTTTTCGTTTTTAAAAATTTTTTATTTTTAATGGGAATTTTCCCATAAAACCCCATAAAATAACGGAAAAATAGGATTTTCCCAAAAACGGCCCGAACGTTTTTGATAAAAATTTTGTATGTTATAGTCCTTTATATTCTGAACAAAATGGTACAAATCCCATTTCTGTAAAAATTATGGTTCAAAAGTTATTGTAAATTATGTTATTTTCCCATAAAACCCCATAAAATAACGGAAAAATCAGATTTTCACAAAAATGGCCCGAAATTGTTTGATAAAAATTTAGTATGTAGTCCTTTAAATTCTGAACAAAATTGTATAAATCCCATTTCCGTATATTTACTCTCACCGCTTACACATGATAAAGGTTGTTGACAAACTTATGGGAGAAAGTATGTGTCAGAATGCTGATACCGTTTATTTATATATATTTTAGATAGATTGGACGTTTTTCTTTAAGCTCTAATAATATACCAATAATAATTATATACCAATAATGATTTTAAAGGACAGAAATATATTATCCATTCAGTTTTTCAGTTATATAAAAGGTTTAATAAAATAGTAATTATGCGTAAAAATTTGGATTTTTACGCCACGCCACGCTTCATGATGTCTGTTCAGCAGCAACACAACGAACTCAGAGAACAACTGTACACAATTACAGCCACGTGCTTCTTAAAGAGTGTCATGTCTGGCACTGAAGACACAAACCATCCCCACAATGTACCATTTGGTAAAATTCTCTCTCTAAAATTCAAACGAACCAATCAGAATTGACATCCTCATAGGGACCGCAGATATTCTCTTATATCCCCACAGTTGATCATGAGGTACAGTTCTCTCTCTAAATTCAAAAAGGACCAATCAGGCCTCGTATCCCCATAAGGACCAAAGCTTTACTCTCTTTTCGGAGAGAGAAAACCGGCATCAGCGCAGCTCTGGTGGCCGCAAAGGCGAACTAAGTGTAAGGATCATAAGGTGCCATGTGGGGATATTTTCGTTTCGCGCTGAAAGTGGGCAATTTATGCATTATTTTGAACAAATAATCCATTCCAGCCAAAAAAAAGGCCTGGTCCTTATTGGGATATCCCCAGAAGGACCAATAGTCCCACAAGTATACTTCAGGACGAGCGTATAGCCGCATAAGTGACCAGATAATCGTTCTCTCTCTCTCTCTCTCTCTTTCTCTCTCTCTCTCTCTCTCTGATTGATTATTGATTATTTTGGTAGCATGGGCTTCCCTTCCCTCCGAGAGATAGGAGTTGCAAAAATGAGATATTTTGCAACTTTTTATCTTAATAAACAATGTCGTAATTTGCTTCAACAACTAATAACATTGCCGATTTGGGGGAAATCCAAGATGGCCGAAAGTCCTGCCGACTCTTAGGCCAGATTTTAAAACAAAAACCAAAAAATAATAATTTTTACCTATGACCGTTTTTAAAGTAGCTGTTTCAGTACAGTTCTTAGAATTGAAAAGTATCTCATAACAGCATAGTTTTTCTCATAACAACACGTGTAACGGACCAATGAGGTTCAAGGATTGAGAGAGGAGAAGCAAAATTGTAATTATTCGAAATTCAACTAATCAGCTGTTCAGGCCAATTTAATTGTTGATTGGTGCAATTAGTATTTGATACAATGTTTCGTTGCTTCACTGTCAGTGGCAATTAGAGGTTATAAACAAAAACACAACCTCTCTTAGAAGTTATGAGTAGTGATTTATAGTAATTAAAACACCGTCGTAGGTAAAGTAGTGTACGCAACTCGCGTAAATAGTGTTAACGACACTCGTAAAAGTTATTAAGGCACTCGCCAAGGCTCGTACCTTAAATTTTCTACTCGTCTCGTTAACACTACCTTTACGCAATCGTTGCGTAAACTACTATAAAGTGCAATTTACACTTAGAACCCTTAGTAATTAAGTAAGAGTTCAGGGAGACACTATAATTCGGCGATCGCTCAAGGAAGGGTTGGAGCCCAGGAGTAAACAATTAGGCGGGACAGTGGCGTAGATACGGGGGGGATCAGGAGGATATATTCCCCCTTCAACCGGAAGGGTAAAAAAATTGTAATAACATTTAAAAAATAATGTTTTAACGTATGCAATGAAATAGTGAACCTTTTTAATTTTACTTCTTAGCTTGTTTTTCGAAAGTATACTTTCAATATCAATAAATTGTAAATAAACTACAATGCCAGTGAAAGTAGTATGGTTTTTGTGCGCGAAACAGAGTACAGACAGAAGTCACAGAAGGTCGACAGCCTTAGCCTATCTGCCCCTCCCCCTACCACCACCCTAAGCCTTTTATACCTACCAACCTGAAATTAATCGTTTTAACGTGAGCAATAAAATAGTTAATTAAATGTCATGCCTATTGTACTAAGCTTGTTTGTTTGTAGGTATACTTTCATTATCGATGAATAAATGGTAACAGATAAACTACATGCCGGTAGCCGGTAGCAGTGGTGGGGTGGGATATTTGCGTGCCAAACAGACGTGAGTCACCGGACGTTGCGCGTTCAACCGCCCATCGACACCCTCCTCCTCTACTCCGTCACCCACACTACGCTTGATCTGTACTCTGGTGTCAATTATTGTGCCAGTGTGTTTTTATGATTTTCGTATTCCGTGGTGTCTCATGAGTGTTATTTTATGTCGAAACAAAGTAAACTGATCGGGTTTTTCGCCCCGAGAAGAAAAATTTGATGGCGTTAGCTGGTGTGGCAATGGAACAACGAAGTTAAGTGATTTTATTACTCGCCTTTGAAATCAAAATTTGTAAATAGGCCAAGTCCCGTCAACATATTAATCAAAATATTCAGTGTTAAAGGATAGAGAAACATAACGTTAAATGTTATCATATAACGAAAAGCCTAGCCTAAGTACTTCAAAAATAAATGTAATAAAAGCTAGTCCACATGCAATTAAAGCAAAAAGTTTAATTTCATAAGTACAAAATTGCATAAAATTGTATTAAGTATTAACACCAGATTTCACTTCCTAAACGCTTAAAAATAGTGTTTAGAGAAGTTATATTTCTCAAATTTTCCCCCGGACCCCCCTTACTTGCAGGGGGATATTCCAGACCCCCCGGGGGGCGGTGGTCGCCAATCTCGCCCAGGGCGGCAAAGTCCCTAGGGCCGTGCCTGCATTGTTGTTTGCTGCGTTTGTGATATTCCTAAATCCGTCCCTGACTTTTAGCCAGATAGCGTTATGTAAGTTTTACATCGGTAACCTGAGTATTACCTGAGAGAAATAATTATTTTTTTCATTTGTGTAGGTGTATGAAGAAGTGGACTCATGTTGCACTGCACTCTCAGAAAGACTAGATGACAACAAGTACTTTTTTGGTGACAAGTAAGTTTAGTTAAGGAACTAAAAGATGTTTTGGTCTGCTGCAACAGTAAGTTTACTATCACAGTCATCTTAGCATAAAGGGTATGCCTTAACACACTACTGATCAGTATTACTGACAGTACCGTAAATCTTAGTAATATACTTTAAGCACTTTGTAATATGTAGTTATATGTATTTATAGCCTAGTTGACTCTATTCAATTAATGTTATTTTATGTATAGTGAATAAAGAATGATTTGATTTGATCTACCTGCATGTCCTTTGGTCCCATGCAGTCGATTTTTAACTGAGGGTACAAGTGTTAACGTATAAAATGCGTCAGCATCAGTAAATTCTGCAAAATCTTTTTGTGCTCAAACATTGCACCACGCTTTAACTACAGGGCCGCGGCCTGGTAGAATTGGCAGCGTCGCAAGTGGTGTTGTTTAGTTTAGTGGACGTCCTATAAGATAACATGGCAGACAGGTGACATCAGCTCATTAATTCGCACTTTATTGATTTAAATTTATGAACATAAATTTATTAAAATATTGAAAATAAAACATACAGAATTGAAAACCAAAACAATATGAATTAAAAATCTATATCTGTACATTTTAAGCAGAGTCAATATTGACATAGTCCAGTAACCAATCTTTCGTAAATACACAAATACCATTAGCTGCTTCCAAACAAAATAGCTGTTATTGGTGCCTATTGGCTGACTTGGTATTTTAACACCACACAGCCACTTTCAGACTAGAAATTGTTATTGCTTTTTTATGTTGTACGCTAATTACCAAACCAACTGTTTCAGGCCAACAGAACTCGATGCAGTGGTTTTCGCTCACATTTTCACAATCCTTACAACTCCACTACCAAACAACCAGTTTGCAGCTACAGTTCGATGCTACCCGAAACTAGTTGACCATTGTATGAGAATAGAGAAGGAATACTTCAGTGAAAATAAGACTGAAGTTCGAGCAATGTTAGAAAACTAATCAAATTGAAGCAAGAATGTTATTTTAATTTATTTATAGAAGAAAATACTTGTTTTGTTGGGATTGCCCTCTTAAGGGAACCCATTTAATAGTCAATCCTAGATCCATCTATTTTTTCCCCGACTGACTTTATTTTGTGTTTTAAAATGTTCCTAATTTGTTCTTGTTATGTTAAACATTGTACCTAAGGTTGTATTTTAAAGTAGCCGGAACTGAAAAGTTTCACATAACATTCATAACAACACAGGTAACAGACCAATGAGGTTCAAGGATTGAGAGAGAAGAAGTAAAATTGTAATGATTTGAACTTCAACTGTTTAACTAATCAGCTGTTCAGGCCAATTTAATTGATGAGGTTTGCAATTAGTGTTTGGTACAATGTTTTGTTGCATCACTGTCAGTGGCAATGAGAGGTCATAAAAGAAAACATAACCTCTCTTAGAAGTTAGGATTAGTGATTTTTAGTAATTATAACACTGTCTTAGGTAAAGTAGTGTATGCAACTTGTGTAAATAGTGTTAAAAACATTCGCAGAAGTTTGGAAATTTTTAAATTTTCTACTAGTGTCGTTAACACTATCTTAAATTAATCGTTGCGTGAACTACTATTACCTACGACTGTTTGTTAACTACACAAGTATAAATTTAAGGTAAAAGCCTTTAAATACACCTAATTTTCATGTAGACATTCATCGTCATAACATATAACTTATAATCGTTGGACTTGTTTTGTTTTCCCTGCTTCAATAAAGTTGTTAATCGTTGCTCTTTATGTTTTATTTTACTGTAAACTTTTAAAGTTCTTTTACACAAGAGTTTACTAGTCTATTACTCAAACTCTGGTTGGTAATTGTGTGGACAATTTTATATAATACAGTGGTGTAGTACTCAGTGTGGATGGTTGTTAAAGTGTTCAACCTAATATTAACTGCAGATTAACATTTTATGATTAAACTTAAAATAACTTTACCAAGGTACAGGTAGAACCACATCTAATTTTTATTTTACTATTAATTCTATGTGTAAATTTCTTTGAGATTTAGTCAATTACATTTTTTTTTATTGTACGGTACCAAATTTGACCAAACAAGTATTTCTGCTAACCGTAAACCATAAAACTCATAAAATGATACTTTTAATTATTGAAACCTGATTTTATTTAGATTTATACATTGGTAAAAAATTGAGTGGGAGTATTTAGAGCTCTTTCAGCTTGACAAAAACTTATGTTGTAGATTCAAACGTACTCGTAAAAGCCTATCACCACCTTTTACATGATACTGAAAGTTCATTGGTTATAACTTAGGGGATATTGCACCCATATTTGTTTTGTTATTTACTGTGTGTTTCAATACATTGACTAAGCAAGAAGTAACTAAGCCTATAAAATAACTTTTAAATATTGCATGTCACTTTTACTCAATAGATAACTTGTGTTAATACAAAAATATTGATGCTTAATCTTTACTTTGACTTGACAATGAAACTATTAAGTCTTTGAAACCATGGTAGCAGGGGCGGCTCCAGGAATATTTTTTTGGGTAGGCCTGACTAGGATCAAGAAGGAATTTGATCGGGGACGAGAGTTTAAAGGGGCTTTGTGGGGCAAAAAGGGGGGAATTTTAAATGCAAAGTAATGAGGTTTAATGCTTTTCCTTTATATAATTAAAATAAATTAATTAATTTGTTAATTTTTATTTATGTAATTTAATTTCTTTATCTATTTCTAATTTTGAAATGTCTACCAAAATGTTGGTAGACCCTGGCCTACCCTCTGGAGCCGCCCCTGCATGGTAGTCTAACTACAAGAGCAGGATCACTTGGCGATACGTAAGGACTATATTGTAAAACATTTCGTCTATGGCCACATTTTTCTAATAAGTGGCATTTGTTAATTAACAACTTAAAAGAGTCAAGGGCGGCATTCATTTAGGAGGGGTGTCATGCCCCCTTTCTTGGGAGGGAGAAAATTTAATGTCTAATTAATAAAATGAACATATTTTTTCTAAAAGTATCAAATAATTTAATAAATAACATCCACAAAAGTGTTGAATCTAAAAGTGTAAAAAATTAAAATGTAATAACTAGTCGAGCCCCTTCCTCCCCCTCTCCTATTGAAGTTGATGTCTGTGCCCAAGATAAGAGTAATTTTTTGAAACATTATTATACCAACATAAACATTTAATTCTTGAATAAATAAATGCATTCTAAAAGTGAACAATGTCAGCCAGTATCAAGAATCAAGCATGCATTTGACCTACTGTTGACCTTGAAAAAAGTTTGAACAAACTTAAACACCATTAGGCCCTACTATACTATCAGTTTTAGAAATGCAAGTTTGAAAAAATGCCCATTCCATGGGATGTTTTTGTGGAAGTTTTCTTCTTCGAAAGTATAGAGTTTTCCTTGATTAAAATAACAGATTTAATTGTTTGATTCAGCTTTTTTGTCAACATCCATGAGATCTTGAAGAGAGATGTAAACCTGGTTTTACGTTTGTCATATTTTTTTAATGGTTTATCCATTTTAGGCCAGAAAAATTAGTTAGAAAATTAGCCGTGCCTGGAAATAATTCCCGGAAAGCTGGAAATCGTTTTAATCCTTTTGTTTTATATAGAAGTAAAAGGATTTGAAGTTTGTCCCATTTTTTCAGGTGAGCTTCTGACCTGGGACCACAAAAACCTTGAAATTTAGGGTTATTTTTTAGTTTTGCTAAAACGTCAAAAAAACCTTCCAGCCTACATAAAAACACATCGTAAAGGAATTGTAGAGCATAAAATTACTCATCCATTGTAGCCTATCTGGCGATGAAAATCGAACCAATAATAAGTGATTTATAGTAATTTAAATAATGTTATTTTATTAAGAAATTATTAAACATAAAATGTTATGAGATTGCGTTTTTTTTTTCTTCATTTGAAAGAAAGTATTCTTATGTGAGGGACATTGTTTCATCAAACTTGACACTGGCTGCAATATATTTACTCCTTCGGCGGAATCATATAAGAAACTAATGAAGACTTAATTCAACCACGCGGAAGGTAAAGCCTACTGAAGCTGGAAGTCATCTAAGCATGGGATAATTCCAAATCCAACAAATGTTGAAGATGCACCACCGGATCTTCTTAACACAATATACTATATGTATGCAAAGTAGGCGTGCAAAAGGGTGTAAAAGTGGTTGTACTTTTAGGATGAACGGAGTCAAATGTACAACAATGTAAAGAGGTGTTTCTTGCAACAATCTACCAGAGAAAGACAAACCACAAATAAATAAGCTATGACGTGCTTACAGAGGAGGAGGAAGTTAGAACTGCAATTCCGGATTCACGACAGAAGAGACAAAAAAATCTAATCAGTTTTTATGTAATTTGTATTAATTACTTTGTAAATAGTAATTTATTTGGAAACCATTTTCTAGAAGCAATATAAATGTTAAATATGCCATGTTCAATCATTTCCTAATAAAATAACTCTATTAAAATTATCATAAATCACTTATTATTGGTTCGATTTTCATCACCAGATACTCAATGGATGCAGAATTTTATGCTCTACAATTCCTTTATGGTGTGTTTTTGTGTAGGCTGGACGAAATTTTGACATTTTAGCAAAAACTAAAAAAAATCCTAAATTTCAAGGCTTTTGTGGTCCCAGGTCAGAAGCTCAACTGAAAAAATGGGACAAACTTCAAATCCTTTTACTTCTAGATAAAACAAAACGAATAAACGATTTCCAGCTTTCCGAGAAATATTTCTGGGCAAAAACCTATTAATACCTGGCCTATTTGGATTAGTAAAATTAAATAAGCCCCTCAAGTGTTTGTCCATATACAAGGGATCAAACCTTTCTATTTTAGCCGTAAAACTAAAACTGTTGTTACTTACTTGTTGTCTTGATCTTTGACCGAAGTTTCTCGGATAGATTGCGTCATTATAACTAAAATATTTACAAAATTTACAATTATCAAAACTTACTGTACAAAGTTGAAATGTTTCAAGTCGTCAAGATTGTACAGGGGCCTATTTAGATCAAGATCAAGTTATTCATATCGGTCTTGAACGCTATACAAACAAAGGTTCCTTGCGCTGTTCATCAGAGAGTTGTAGATTTTTATTGCCGATCGAGGGTATCTCCTCAAGGTGTGGCTTAAGCGGCAGCGGGGCATATCTGGTCATGGGCCCTCCTTGTTCCATATTCATGCCTATTACCTCAAATCTCAAACTCACCCAGGTTTTCCTTAAGCAGAACCAGACTATTGAGGACATATTGGCTAACCACTGTGAGGATTCCCAATTCCTTAAAAATGGGTCAGCAGTGCTCTCTAGGGCCTTGAGATGTAATGACCCTCACAGCTTTTTCTGAAGCAACAGTATCTCATGGCACGCAGGGGAGTGTCCCCAGAGCACTATCCTATACGTTACATGGCTATGGCATAAGACATGGTATGGTTATCAGATAGGTCTTAGTGATTTCAACTCAAGAGTTTCCTTAGTAGATAGAGAAATCAATATAACCTTATAGATGTGGTTAGACCAGTTTAGCCTAGAGTCCAGCCAAAACCCAAGCAGCTTCCTCCTGATAGGCCCTCGACTTTAGGGTAGACATCAATGATTGTGTCTTTTCTGCATTTATTTTGAAGCAATTCGCTGCAAACTACAGGACTTAGCCTCAACGAGTAGTCTGTTAGCTGTTTCTTTCAGCAGGGCAGTGTCTTTCCCTCTGTTCACCAAGGTGGTGTCATCTGCTGAGATAAGGGTGCAGCCATTTAGCCAAAGGTAATTTATCGTTATGCTAAACAATAGGGGACCTAACACCGAACCTTGAGTCCCCGTGGACGATACCTTAGACTTCCGTAGAGATTCTATTCACTGACATAAGTTGTCTACCATTTTCCAAACAACATAACGCCTTACTCAGATCACATAAAATCAACATGACAGAGTCATTACAATCTAAGGCATCTGTGATGAGGTCAGTCAGATTCATTAGGGCTGTAGTTGTCGAGCGCCCGCTTCGAAAGCCTTGTTGGGCATCAGAGAGCGAGTTCTTTCCTTAAAAGTATTCAATTTAGCTGCCTCTTCATCGCAGTCCCAAGTTGGCCTACCGTAGAAAACACAGGCAAGATAGATATGGGGCAGTAATTCGACGGATCTCCCTTCTTAAAGATGGGGATGGTCCAAGCTAGGACGTTAGGAAAATACCCTTTCCTTAGACACAAGTTGCGACTAGTTTAGTTAGTGGTGCACATATCTGATTTATAATAGATTTAGGATTGGGCAGGAGATACCATTTACATCTCGTCTGTCAGAATTTTTGAAGCCCTTCACTAAACTTACAATATATCCTTTAAAGTCCGGTACTCACTTCAGTCCAACCTGTTAGGCCCGGTTCACACGAGCGATTTTCCTAGCTGACTAGGTAAGTCCGACTGGGTAGCGGACCGCAGGATACACCGGTTCACACGAGCGCTCGACATGTCCACGGACTAGATGAAAATATCGATATCAAAACCACTCGGATCCATCACTGGTGCACAATGAGAACAAAGGGAAGAATTCGGGCTGCAGCGCGACTACCCGATCGCTCGTGTGAACCCTCCCATAAGGCTACGTGTAGGCCTACTGCTACGCTGCTAGACTGGGTGACTGGGAAGTGGGGCCCGACTATGTTTTGGGACACCAAGCTCGAACGTGGCTAGCTAGTCGTTGCCCTACGCTCGTGTGAACGGCTCCATTTGATCCTGTGGTCCACTACCCAGTCGGGCTTACCTAGTCACAGCCTGCTCGGCTAGGTATGTCGCTCGTGTGAATCGGGCCTTAGAGTGTGGTTAGTGGCATGATCGACTGCAGCAACTGGGTCTGCCTGCTGCAATAAGGGAAGGTTGTTGATGATATCATTAGATAGCCTGACAAAATAGTCATTAAAAACATCAGGGGACCCTTAGTTATCATAGGGCTAGGGCAGGACCTCGTATGCTCATTAAAACCATCCCATACAGCCTTGCAGGTGTTTGACGCATTCAACATTTTGTTTACGTTACTGGTTTTCTTCGCTTCATTGACTTTAGTTACTTTTTATCAATAGTAGGCTAGTCGTTCTCAAATTTTTGGTCATACTTTATTTTCTGCAGCAAACCTAATAACTTAAGCCTACTTAAAGAAGGCAGTAGATTATGCCTATCCTGGCACTATTTTTAAGTCCATTAAGCTTTCTAATAAGTGACACTAGGCTTTATGAGCTGTGACATATGATTAGTGCATATGTGTATCCATTCACTGTTGTGCCTCTTTATGTAAAAAACAATATAAAAAGCTGATTTTAATCATAGGCCTATTAAAGGAATAAGGACAAACAATGAGTTAAAACTTAGGTAAAAAAATAAAGTAGGCCTAAGTTACCTATCAAAATATTTGATTCCAAAGTTAACTTAACTTAAAACCTATTCCTTGGCATTTGATCTTTGAGTTGGTTTAATTTAACTAGGCCTAAATCTACTTAATTTCATTTCATTATAGCTAGCTGAATCTGATGTATAATTTCATTCTACACTCATGTATCCCACCTTAAGTAGGCCATAAAAGTTTGTTTAGTAAAACTTTGTTATCCAACTCAATTGCATTATCCATTGTAACAGTTATTAAAAGTTAATTAAGTTCTATTAGTTAAGAAAAAGTTTGGGTTTTGGTTTGCTATTGATCGCATTCGCATCAATACTTTTATTGTTAACAAATCTGATGGAGTAATAGCTTATTGAAGTTTTGGCCTCGGTTTCCACACAATAAAATGGGTACATCAAATCTATGTGCTGGTCTTAGACAGAAGTGCAGGCTTGCGGTTTGCATGTGATACAGGCATGAGAACATATTTATGCCCCCTTTCCCCTATCAAAGTATTTTTCTCTTCCTTGAGCCCCCAACAAACCTAAAACCTCTTGCGCCCCTGGACCTAGGTCCACTAACTTAAGTTAGGCCCATTTGGCCATTTATAAAAGCGGCCTTGCTGCAGAGGTGATCGGTTGTAAAAATAATGGTGATCCAGATCAAAAACAAGTTTATTGTTATTTTTAGGCTCTTATAATAATCTGATGATAACTTAATGCCACAAAAGTGTCAATAGTTGCCTTAACATTTTACTTATTTGTTTTAGGCCTAACACTAAGTAAAAACAGTAATTTCTTAGGCCTATTTGAAATAGATAGCCTACAACAGACACATAGAAACAAGTCATATTCATTTAACATAATTCAACTCAACAAGCCTAGAACAATTCTGTTTAGGCAGCTCTTAGACTAAGCTGTTATTATATTTTTATCCATATTACTGCAGCCATGAAAAAGAAAAACACAGTTACCATAAAATTGAAATTCAGAAAGTCTTCGATTGTAATCTCCAACAAGAAACAACCTTCCACCACATGTCTCTCGTAAAAATCGAGGATAGTCATGTAAAGATAATGTAGGAACGCACCTACACAGATTAGGATCATCACTGGCTTAAACCTGGGGCCATTTACAAAGCCATCAAGTGGATCACGATATACCATTACATTGTCTTCTGGGGGTTCTTCGTCATCGTCATCTTCTACTATTAGGCGGGGGGTTTGGTTATGGATAACCTCCCTCATATTTATAGCTGGACCTACGGTACGAAAAATGTGTGTATTTCGGCGAGGCTTCATCTATACTGAAAACCGAAAAGGGTCCTTTTTGTACTGTACACGTTGGCGGCTGGATGTCTGCTGTCTGCCCGTCTGCCGGATGAGCGGAAGTGGATAATTCCTCAAACACTGGGCCTCTGGGTAGGCATAGAGTAACTTAGTAACTACCGGCACATATTCTATCAGTATGTATAAAGGTTATAAAACCAATTGCGTATTTTTTCTAAGACTGAAAAAAACCCCAAATATTTCGTATATTACAAATTGAAAAATTATGCAGTAACAAAGCCCAAAACTGTGTGGGCTACGTTGACGGTACAACTTGGCTCTGGCTCTAAGGTCATTGGTTTGGTTTAAGAAACAATAATGTAATAATGACTATTATTCTAAATATCTGTCCAACAAAGTTATTACAGTATGTGTGGTCTGGTGTCATCAGAAGACCTAAAGCACATGTAGGCATACACATATGTTGAAAACGCATTTTTGCCTTACTAACTACAGTGATGAGAAAAATGTATCGATATTTTCAAAACTCTTGCCATCACTATCTTTTGGTGTTTGTATTTTTTGGTGTTAGTGATTTAATTGATAATCAAAATATTCAAATATCAATTTCATGATAAAAGGGTTTGGAATATCGGTTAGGCTATACCTAGTTTAGTTATGCAAGCGAATTATCTGTGTAAGAATTAAGAATATAATTTAATTTCTTGCTTTTTAGTTCCTATAACACCAGTCCACACATTTTAGGTATCACAAAGCCCTGACAGCTATATTGACACGTTTTTTGTAGGTTTGGATGGTTTTCTCCAAACCTACAAAAAACGTGTCTATAAGAGCTGTCGAGACGCAATCTATCCCTTTTATGGGTAAAAGATGAAGAAGGAGTAAGTAAACTCGTTTAAGTGGGTTTACCGAATTTCCTTATAGTGAAGAAACTGTTACAGATGGCATAGTAAGACCGATTTACTCTTTCATGTTGATATCCCAAGAGCCCAAAAACACCATTCGTTCAAATCATTATTATTATTATTTTATTATTATTGTTGTTGTTATTATTATTAATATTATTTCTGCGTGTGTCTGTGAACGCGATAACTTGAGTCATTTTGGAACGATTTTGATTAAATATTTAACTTGAAGGTGATGGGCAAGATAAAATGAGTTTGCGAACCAACAAGATCAGGTCATGGGAACGGGGTATTATATGGGGTTTTAAAATGGTAAACAATTTATTTTCACAAAATTTTACCCTAATAAGAAACAATTAATGTAATTTTACATGCCTAAGATTATGGCCATCGTAAATAGTTTTGTATAATGAAGGGTTGTTGTAAAATTAAAGGTTGCGGAGAAAATTTAAAAACCTGTATACCTTTTTAAATTTCCTATGTTATTCTTATATTGAGAAAAAAGATCACTGTTGTAGTTTGCTTCTTTATTAATGAATGTAGATCAAATTTGGCAATTTCATTTATTTAATCCTATACGAGAATACTTCTTGTTCAAGAACACTCTTTTTACCTTCCCTGTACCAGCAAATTTAAGCAATTGTTAAATATAATAAGAGTTAAATGGAAAATAAATTTGTCTTTTTAATGGAAATATTTTAGTAAAAACTCAATCAGACAAACTGAAATTCGCTTAGTCTGCAGGTTTGCTGCGGTGAGGGTATTTTAAATTTTGATTAAATCTTACATGAGAAAAGTTTTCTATTTTACCCAAAGTCCAATCAGGCAAATTAAATACGCATAAGTCTTCGTGATTGCTATGGCGAGGCGAGGGTATTGTTTAGACACGAACTCAATTGGAGAAGGGAGTTTGAAACTCCGCGCGTTAAAGTTACTGCACCGCAACCTCCCCCCCCCCCCCAATCCACTGCTATTCTCCCCACAAATCCTTGGTTGATCTCGCCCGATCCGACTGCAAGGCTCGGCCCTCAGTCAGTCGCCGCCAAGAAGGCAGTTAGTGTAGTGAAAGTGTGTAGTGGTTGGCGACATATAGGTACGATACTCGCTATTGATACTATACCTACTAATACTAACTTAACGAGTACTAACAAATCCTCTCGGGATAGTGATATGGTAGTTTCTGCTATGTTAAACCATCTTATAGTGTCGTGTTATCATTAACCTAACTTGTGAGTTGAGGGATACCACCTGAACATTGGTGAGTAGTAGATCTATGGGCTATCATGTGTTATAAAAAGTATCTAATTGTTACTTTACCCAACGCTGAGTTCTAATTTGTATTTCGAGGTTAGGCTACAGGTCCTTGTTCTGAAGGACGCAGGACGCAGGCGTATTATTTAGCGGTGACGTAAGAACTACGTCAGGCATCACAGACTGGTGTGAGGTGTGATTCTATAAATAAACCCGTGTAACTCCAAATACGGTTGTTATACTGTAATGTTCATCTTCATCCTTATGATTCACCTTTCTTTATACCTTTCTTCACCTTCGAATTGACCTTGTTGTCAATGTGTAAAAATAAACTACCGTTTGTAAAATATGCGTATACAGATGTATATATTACATTTTATGTTTACCATGAAATGCTGTAATCAAAATAATCAAAGAAATAAAGGCTCTTTCTTAATACTTTTGGCAGAACATTGAATCACAATTTACATTGTTAACAATCTCAGTTGTTGTTTTTAAATTAGTGCTTTTAAGGTTTCATTTTTATGTGTAGAACTTGTACATGAACTATATCGAAAGTATTTAATTTATATGAACAGAATTTTCTTATTCATCATTAGATTAATTGACCATTAGTTTTAATCTTGTGTAGGTCCACTTGCCTAATCTATGGTAATGGTAAACAAGATATTAACTTAATGTCTTTGAAACTTGGCTGAAGATATAATAATTCTAAATGTAATTTTTTTTATACTGTAGACAATTATTTACCATTTATTATCATACATACTTAATACTTATGGTGTAGCTTAATTTATAAGCGTAGGCCTAATACATTTCCAAAGTTAAGAGATATTATTTTGATCTTAGTACAGTATAAGCATAGTTGAAAATATATACAGCCCAAAAATTGATAACAAAGTTTTAAGAGATTTTTATTTAGTTGTACTAATTCCCTAATTATTATTGTTTTGATTGATAAAACTAGAACTTAATAAAATAAAATCAGATTACAGCAGTTAACCTTATTTACGTAATACCCCCGCCACAGCAAACCTGCCGTCTAAGCGAATTTCCATTTGGCTGAATTGATTTTCAATTGATCTATTTAAATAACATTAGGTTTAGGGAGCACCTAGGTTTGCTGCTACAAGGAAACTAATAAAGTGTGTGTTTTAAGTAAAATAATTATTGCTTAGTATAAAATGAATATATTTGCCAAGTTTGATCAAAAGATATCCATAAACAAGCAAACTACAACATTTTACAATATTCTCCAGAAGAGTTTTCTCCGTAGCCAATAACCGTACAAAAACACTTTGATATACTTAATTGTTTGTTTTTTAAAGCTCTTTAAGGTTTAGAGGAAAATTGGGAAATTTTGTGTTTTGAGGGTCAAAAGTGAGAAAAACTAATTTTTACCCCATAAAACCCCCCATAAAACCCTGTTCCCATGGTCCGATCATGCTGGATCGCGAACTCATTCAAGTTTATCCCGCCTTACACCTTCAAACCAAATTTCATAAAAATCGGATAAAAATTACTCAAGTTATCGTGTTTACGGACACATATATATAAATCTATATATATACAGGGTGTTTTTTTTTAACTTGCATCTTTATTTTGGTAAAAACCGCAATAGATAGAAATGTGCAATTTGCGGGAATCATCTATTGACGTAGGGGGCCCAATTGTTTTGAATTCTACGTTACATTCACATTCCCCCTTTCCCCCCTGCCCCCAACTTAATTTTTTTAAATAGCAAGGTACCCCTTGTGACATATTAAATAAAAAAGCATTACAAAAAATAAAATGTTTGATGAAAAAAAAATTGAAAATCGGTTCATAAATTTGTGAGATATTCCCCCCTCCCCCCCTGGAACTTAATTTTTTTTTTTAATAGCAAGGTACCCCTTGTGACATATCAAATGAAAGAGCATGAAAAAAGAAAATTTTTGGTGAAAAAAATTTAAAATTGGCTCATGAATTTGTGAGATAATCCCCCACCTTTTCCCCTACCCATAACTTGTTTTTTAATAGCAAGGTACCCACCCTTGTGACATATCAAATGAAAGAGCATGAAAAAAGAAAATGTTTGGTAAAATTTATTTTTCATTTGATATGTCACAATGGCGGGCACCTTGCTATTAAAAAACAAGTTATGGGTAGGGGAAAAGGGGGGGGGATTATCTCACAAATTTATGAGCCGATTTTAATTTTTTTTTCACCAAAAATCTTCTTTTTTCATGCTCTTTCATTTGATATGTCACACGGGGTACCTTGCTATTTAAAAAAAAATAAGTTCCAGGGGGGAGGGGGGAATATCGCACAAATTTATGAACCGATTTTCAATTTTTTTCATCAAACATTTTCTTTTTTCATGCTCTTTTATTTGATATGTCACAAGGGGTACCTTGCTATTTAAAAAAATTAAGTTAGGGGCAGGGGGGGAAGGGGGGAATGTGAATGTAACGTTGAATTCAAAAAAGTTGTGTCCTCTACGTCAATGGATGATTCCCGCAAACTGCATATTTCTATCTATTGCGGTTTTTACATAAATAAAGATGCAAGTTTTCAAAAAACACCCTGAATATATTTAAAAAAAATTGAACGAATGGTGTTTTTGGCCTCTGGGGACACCAAAATGTAAAAGTAAATCGGTCCCGGGCCTAAGTCTTACCATGAGACCTACGGTAATAGCTACTTCCCTATAGGGAAATTCGCTAAAACTGTGTAGTATGTCACTTTGCAAACTGTTTGTTAATTTTCTTCGATAATTTAGTCGTGAAACATAAATACTAGTACCTGTGGGTCTTACAGGTTTTATGGTTTAACCAATAGCATGGGAAATTTGGTTTTTGTTTAAGGATAAAACCACCAACCAAATTAATTGCTACAGTATCTAACTCTGTCAAAACCATCCCAAAAATCACATCCCCGATTAAAATAGCATGCGAAAATTTACTCGAAGAGCCTTTACATTGGCCTGTTACATTTTACGTCCATAAAATGTTTCTTCTATTGCATGAGCGAGTTTTGAACTTTTATTTTTCCAATATAACTAACTATGTTTTGCTGAACTTACAATCCTTGGCTTACGAATTAATTATCCTTTACTAAATCGTCATCACCTGAGTTAACCTAATCAATTGATTGACGGAATAAATCTACATTTAATTAAGATTCAATGATATCCGATTACTAAGCTCCTTGTTGTGTGAATATGCGTAAAAATTGATTTATTTGTACATACTTATAAGTTGAATGTTTACTTCTTTAAAATGTTATACAGATTAAATTAGTAGGCCTACATTATATTACAATTAGTACAATTAGTACACAACATTTCGTTATGGTTGTAAAAGTTATAAGTAAGTTAAATAATTTATGTTATGGATTAAAAAAACAAATAATTTTATTGGTATGCACACAGGTTTATAACAACCCATAAAAACAGGAAAGAAGTTATAGCTAAAAAGTTTAAATACCTCCTATTAGGTCATCCATTAAATTGTGGACGCAACTATTTTCAGCTCCTACGATGGACATTTTCTCTAACATGTAATGTATTTAATACTCTGCAATTTAATGGATTGACTGCTAGCAGGTATTTAAATTGTTTGAAATATTATTTGGCAATCCAGAGGCCAACATCTACTTTAGTTATAGCTCTTTCAAATGTTGTTTGCAAGAACAATACATGGTTATCTTTTTCATTCCATTTAACGTTTGGAATATGCATACTACTTGTAACCGTTTTCAAGATTCTATGTACAGTTCGAGAGACTCTGAGACTCAGAGACAATAACATTTTTAATGATAATATTAGTGAAGGATAGGTCATTCAGGAGGGAATATTTTCCGTGTTGAGGAATTTCCCGTACGAAAACTCATAACTACGTCGATTTAATTTTTATTATAATCATAAACGTAATTTCTATAGGCTATGTCAACAACTACTTGATTGTACAATACGTGCTGTTACTATTACAAGGATTTATTCAATCATGGACAATTGCAGAAGGGGCAAGGGGCATTGCCCTATTGATAAATAACTAAATAAAAAATAAATTAAGCCTTGTAGGACTTAAGATAGCTTATGCGTCTAATATAAATCTGCGAAATCAATCCTTGATAAAAATGGTATAAGTGTTATAGTAGTCTGAGGCCCCTGATGTACATATCCACACAGATATAACGGAAAAACACTTTTTGGTGACAGGAGGGCCCGAAACTGATATATCCACAAAAAAAAACTTTTACGAAAACAATACTTTCCCCATATATTATATGTAGGCCTATAGGGGGAGAAAGAAACATTATACTGTACTGGTAAAATAAAATATGTCTTACAACACCATCGTTAGGTAATACAACAATGAACAATCCGTAGTAATATTTTAGAAGTTGCTTTATACTTTTTATTTGGTCTTCCATCGTCGGGAAAGACTCATTCGATAAAACCCACAGTATTATAATGGGTTTATTATTCCCAAAATAAATAACAGCTAGCAGTCTGTCATTGGTCGACCCTTCCTAAAAAGTTTAAATTATATTGAATACAGACATATGGAAAATATACAGGATAAAGTAAGACTAAAAACTCTCTAATCGTATAAAGATTTTATTGGCATCAAAATAAACAGTTGTTTTTGATAAGTTGATAAAATGAGGTTTTGTTTGAAAGTAATACTTGGAAAATAACTTAAACATTCACTCACTTCATTTATGTTCTTTATTTTACATTAAACTTCTTGTACTATTTGTTTTTGTTCTTTTAACATGTTTCTAATTCAATCTTTGTAGAGTATATTATAAAAGTGCATTAGGGTTGATTATATATATATATGGATTGGGCCTTAACAACAGTGGAAACATTACAACGATCGAACAAGTTTCCTCCACCAACATTCCCGACATCTTAAATCATATCTTTGTGAAATGTTGCAAAACAACTGCTGGTCAAAGGTTTATCATTGAATCGTAATGTTGAAATTATTTTCTTTATGGAAATTTAAAAAACAAATTCACCTTCGATAGTTTCTTGAGTAAAGGATTTGTTTTGAGTACTCAAGCAGCTGTTGAAAGGTAAATGTGACTGGTAAATTTTGTTTTAGAACCAGCCATAATGACCCAATTTTGAGTAGAAAAACTTTATTTAGATTCCTGTTTTAGGCACAAAACGCATTTTAGCGAATTTTCCATACGAATAAGCTAATACCGTAGATATCTTGGCAAGATCATGATCGGGACTATCTTTTTGGGTTTAAAGTCCCCAGAGACCAAAAAACAATATTCGTTCAAATTCATGTATATGTGTCTGATAGTGTGATAACTCGAGTAAAACATGTACGGGGTAAAAACGTGTAAACTTAAGTTAATTCGAACGTGTTCGCGAACGAGCGTTATCGGACTAAAAGGGGTCTGGCTTTTACTGGGCAAAATGTTATTTTTCTATAATGCGATCTTTAAAACATTAAATTTTTCAATACTTTGTAGAGCTTAAAAAACAAATTGCTTATACTTGATGCGTTGTTGTGCACTTAATGGTTACGGAGAAAATTATTTACAAAAAACTGTAAATTTAAAATTTCTATGTCATTCTTACGGAAGTTAAGCCAAGCTTGTTTATTTATGGATACAGTTTCATCCAATTATGCAAATTTGTTTATTTCATACCAAAGTCATTAAAATTCCAATAATACAATATTAAGTCATTACCTCCCCTTTAGCAGCATACTCGCTAAACCAAATTTTATTTAAATAGAGACATTATTTAATAAATCCGACATTTTTATTATTGAAAATCCAATCGTGCATTGGAATTTCGCTTAGTCTGCAGGTTTGCTGCAGCGGGGTATTTTCTTTTTTTAAGTTAATTGCTTTATTCGTTAATCATTAACTGCACCAATCACTGACCTTAAAAAGACTGATCTAATCCCTTGATAATCCTTCGTTCGTAACGTAACTATTCTTTTAACTTAACGAAACCTCATTTAAACGGTTGACAATTTTGAGTTAAGAGTGGCAATGCTTTAGACTATAGCGGAGCTTATAACAATCAATGTGTTCATATTCTTGGTATTCAAAATGTTGCTCTTGAAAATGTGACTATTACTTGCTTATGATTAAAATATTTGTCGTGTTTTGATATATTTAAGCCTATATACACTCTTTTACTTGTTTACTAAGGCAACAGTTGTTTTTGCAACGATTGTTTTTTAACCAAGTATTCGTCCTGTCTTTGATGGATCATAATAAGAAGTTGTACGTACAAGTGACACTTCGTATAGCCAAAGAGATTATTGATCAGCAGAATTATACCTACTTTTGATGGACAACTTTAGTATACTGTACTTACCACTTGTTTTGCATGGCCACAGTAATTAACTGTTGCTTGCTAGTAGATTTGTCCTGTTTTTGATGGATCATACTTAGTACATGTCATATGTTTTGCGTTGTCACAGTAACAGATGTTTGCTGGTAGATTTGTCCTGTTGTTGATGGACCATACTTAGTACATGTCATATGTTTTGCGTCGTCACAGTAATAGAAGTTTTCTAGTAGATTTGTACTGTTTTTGATGGATCATACTTAGTACATGTCATATGTTTTGCGTTGTCACAGTAACATATGTTTGCCATAGTAGATTTGTCCTGTTTTTGATGGATCATACTTAGTACATGTCATATGTTTTGCGTTGTCACAGTAACAGATGTTTGCCATAGTAGATTTGTCCTGTTTTTCAGAAATCCTTGTAAACATGTGTACGTAATCAGGTGCCTTTCTCACAGTGACGATTGATTAATTGTTAGCCTAATTATACAGTTTTTACAAATCACAATAAGCAGATGTCTTACTTACACCATGTTTGGCTTTCCAACCGACTGTTGCTGAGAATTTTTCTGATGGATCATTATAAGGAGATATGGCATATACCGCTATTGCCACAGTGACTAATGCCTGCCTATAAGTGGATGATTCGTTGTGTTGTGTTGGCGAGCTAAGCCATCCAAGGACGCTTTCTCTTTCTCTTATTTTGCACTTATACTTATAACATTCTTATTTTTCAGGCATGGCAGGAATCACTCAACACACCATCATCTTATTGGTAAGTTATAGTTTTATAAATAAAAATATAAATGCTTTGTTTGTTACTGTTTATACGATTTTAACGTTTTTTAACTTAGTTTACATAATTTATTATATAAAACTAAGCAATTAACCACTGATAATTGAACTCAAATTAAAAAATTATGTTGTGTATGTATTGTGGAAGATTCGTCAATGATTAGCAACTATGTAGATGTATAATCTTTTTATAAACAAATTTGCAGATTGAATATTTCAAATTAATCGACTGAATTCAATCATTGATAGGAAAGATAAATTATAAAAACTAAATTAAAAATTGAAAATACTGTACTGATAAGATTTTAAAAATGAATTCTTGGGTGACACTTTGTGTAAGATTAAATAATGCAAAGCGGCAACCCTGTTAGCATTGTTGTGACTGTAATGATAATGATGTTAAGTATATAGACGATTACAAGTTTTAGTTTGGTTCTAGACATGTAGGCTTAATTGCAATTATAAACATCACATTTTAAATACCCATATTATTCAACACCAATTTCTGTTTACTGTATATGAAAAACTATCATACCATTGTCGTCCAATCATTAGGTACAATAATTATTGGGTACAATAGTAGTCAGCATTAGTAAATAGAGGGAAAAACAGATTTCGAATAATATTACATAAAATGTTCATGTGCCAAAAGCAAGATTGTTTCTTATCAAATGTCCAATGGAAGCTAGATAAATTCAAGGGAATGACCCAAAGTAGCTTAGCAGTAAATTTAATCATACGCACTCACGAAAACACAAAAAAAGTAAAGAGAGTAAAAAAATATAAAATAACATGCAAATATAACTGTATAACTTACTTGCTATTTAAGACGTATAGACTAAACCAATGATTGTGTTTATAATGTTAGAGGAGAGAGGTCGTGGTTCTAGAATTACCAATGGTGGCCTACTACAATTTAATAATTAATTAATAAATACGCTACGTTGCGATCTGAAGTCCATGATATAACAATCGCCTACATAGCCAAATGTCAAGGTGGGTGTGTTGATACCCACGCAGACAAGAGTCTTAGTACCCGATTTTTGGACCCAAAACACTATTTTGGAAAATGGTTCGAAATTCGGGCTGGTATTTTAAAGGACGTTTCAACCCCTGTAGGTGATTGTTTCAACGTCTTTGAACTAACAAATTATAATTAGGAATAATACAATAGACACCCTAATTTTTCATGGTTTGAATCAGCTAATTTGCTTTGATGGGTTTTGGTAGCTGAAGTAATTCATAAATGTCCTTTATACTCAAGGGAACGTCTTTGTTGGTATTCGGCAAAATAACTTTTATAGCAAGAATGTTTTTTCTGGGATGGATTTAGTTTCGCTCTAATTATACATATTTTGACCATTTTGTAATTATTTGTAACACATTTTCCTTTTCCCCGTCGACAATGGCACTGAGCTTTGAAGGTTCCTTGATACACTTGACTCCTTGAATATGCACTTAAAGAAATATAATCCATTACGGCATTAGAGCATTTATCTCTTAACAAAACAATTTTCAATAACATTCTCTTTTACTATATATGTTGATTTTAGTGTTAAATTAGATTTTTCTCAAAATAACCTCTCCACAGTGTATTTGTAATCCACTCGCAATATAAGTATTTTCATAGAAAATGAACACCTTGCTACTCTTGTAAACAGTACGCAGAATAGCTCTTTCCGCGTTATTCATTCCCGCTCGCTAAATCAGCTGATTTCACTTTGGTGTTTCTGTAAAACACTAGCATCCGGTAAGCTTTTGCTTACGGTAGGTTGTTACCTAAAAAAGCAAACATAACCTAAATGACACTTTATACAACTAAAATGTTTATCTCTGTGTTATGATAAGTTAATTATGGCGGTAGGTTCGTGTGCATTACATAGTCAGTGGCATATCCAGGGAGGGGGCTCAAGGGGACCGCCCCCCTAAATATATATAATATATATATATATATTTATTAGGGATATGTTGATTCTTGATACCAATTCTCGATACCACCGATACTTCGACATTGGTGTCGGTATCGAGAATCGATAGTCAAAAGTGACTCTTTGGCAAAAATAATTTTATTTTTGTGACCGCGGGAGACGATGATGGTGTTTCCATGCATGAGAAAGACATTCAGTATTTTGCTGTGATTCCAGAAGACGACGACAAAGTATCCATGACCACGGGAGATGATCATGATATTATCTCGAGTTTGGCTTGATCCAAAATCTCAGGCTGGCACACCTCTAGTTGTAATGACTTTTTAAAATATCTTTATTTGCCTTTGGTTGGAACTGTCTTGGTTATTATTTTTTTACTTGACCTACCTTAGGGATGTAGATAAATAGTACCTATATATTTTTTCATTCAAAACTAATTCATAAATCAGTTTATAAAAAATGAATAGTACCGTACGTAATAATGTTTTGGTACCTTGTTCATAAAGATTTATGAACAGTCAAAGGTAACTCCAAATGGCAAATGACATTGCACCAAGACAATTCTCGAATTTAGAACCTTTAGAGGTGCTATAAACTTAAAATACCAAATCTTTTGGGGTATCCGAACCCCCCCCCCCTTATCATGGGGGGATTAATACCCTTCCGGTTTTGCCCCCCCCCCAAAACGAAATTCTGGCTACCCTTCTGTCTATAGTATTTTGCAATGGCGTCGAGTTAATTATGGATACAGATCCTTAACCAGTTATGAAACATCACTGTATATTGGTCAAAATCGTATTTTTTAAGCTACCTCAACAGAAGCCAAAAGATCGTTAAAAAATTCTTATTAAACCCAGCCCCCCTTTTTAGTAAAAAACCTAATGCTATATAAATATAGAATCAATCTGACATGTTTGATTGATTGATTGATTGATTGATTGTAAGATGGTGGACTCATGGTCGAAGCACGTCAACCGAAGCTTATTGTGCATCCCACTTGCCACTAACTGGGTAAGCCTATGCCTGTGTCCTTAACTAGGTGCAGGAGCTTTTGCCCAATGTTAGCGTCTGGTTCATCACCTGGCTGCTTTAGACCAAAAAGAGCCCTTCTCCTAGCCCGTAGTCCATCGCAGTCCACAATAATGTGTTTTGCAGTCTCATCTGACTGGTTACAAAGTCGACACTCCTGCTTGTCATTGACTGACTCTGCTTGTCATTGCTGAGTGTGGAGATGTTTCATGAAATGGCCGTGTCCATTGATAAGAGCAAGTACCTGCTTGACCTGCCCTATCCCCAGCTTTAGCAGCTAGCGAGTGAAGAGGGTGCTAGGTTTTGAGAGCAGTTTTTTGGCAAGCGATTGTCCAGGATAATTACGCCAACGCTCAAGGTGTTGTCCCCTGGACCATTTGTTGATTACATGTTTAGCGGCCGCTTTGCTAATGCCACAAAATGGCTCTGGTCCAAAGAGTGGCATGCTCGCACCTTTTTTGCCAGCTTGTCTGAACTCTCGTTGCCGCCAATGCCTACATGGCCTGGGTCCCAGCCGAGAGTTACAGAGTTCTGTGATGCAAGTCTGCAGAGGGCGTTGAAACACTCCCAGACAAGTTTTGAGGTGACTTAATTTGAGTCAAGAGCTTTGAGAGCAGCCTGACAATCAGATAAAATCACTATCCTTTTGTCTTGGTACCGTCTGGCTAGTCCTAGGTCGGCACAAGCCAAGATGCCATAGATTTCTGCCTGGAAGATGGTACAGTATCGTCCCAGACTTCCTGAAAGTTCTGTTCTGGGTGATCGACAGTAAACCCCAAAAGCAGATTTTCCATCGATTAGGGAGCCGTCGGTGAACCAGACGAAGCTCTCCATATTTTGGAGATGCCCTTCAAGGGTTTGTCGAAAACTGCTTCCTTGCTTAGAAAGTCCGAGGTCATGTCAAGCACAGGACACTCAGCCAAAGTTTTAGCAATGGCGCAGTGGCCTGCCCCTGACAGGCCTTACCTCCACAGATTTGCAACCCTCAGACGGTAAGCTGCCTTGAGGGCCTCAGATCTGATGAAGATGTCCAGTGGTAGCAGCGACTTCTAGAGTAGCTGATGGACTGCTCCTGAAGGCTCCAGTGGCCTGTAGCGTGTCGAGCCTTTGCATGCTTTCTAGCTTGACTATGACAGTTACATGATTCACCTTTGTCCATCAGACTAGTGAACCATAGGTAATCTGAGGCCTGACCACAGCCTCGTATAGCCAGAGTGCTATGTGGGGTTTAATTCCCCAGGTGGTTCCTGCAAACCTCCTGGACGTCATGAGCGCCCATTTGGCCTTATGCAGTGCGTTATTCAGGTGGTTGTTCCACGTCAGCTTGGAGTCAAGTGTCAGTCCTAAATACTTGACCGTACTCGACACTCCCAGCTGAGTAGTGCCAATTTTCAGCCTGGAAAGAAAATCCAGGTTCTTTTTCCCGGTGAAAGGAACTACGACTGTCTTAGAAGGATTAATGTTGAGTCCCTCTCTGAGACACCATTGTTTAACACATTGTAGGTTGCCGTTCATGACGTCAGCTACAATGTTTGTGAATTTTCCTTGTACCATGAGGACTACGTCATCTGCATAGCCCTAGACAAAGATGCCCTTGCTGGTGAGTTCAGTTAAAAGACCGTCCACCACAAGGTTCCACAGTAAGGGTGAAAGTACACCTCCCTGTGGACATCCTTTTGTGGGTGCGATCACAATTGTTTCACCAAGAAAGTCGGCTACGGTGCGTCTTGAGTTAAGCATAGACTCTGTCCATCTACACAGAGATTGCTCGAGTCCATGCTCACAAACTCCCCGCACCATTGCTCCGCATGTTACGTTGTCGAAAGCTCCTTCAGTGTCCATGAAGGTGCATAGGGCTATTTCCTTAGCAGCCAGGCTGTCCTCAATTCTGCTGACCAACTCGTGCAGAGCGGTTTCGCAGGACTTGCCTGGCTGGTAGGCGTGTTGATTTCGATGAAGAGGTGTGTTGAGAAGTACACACTTTCTAATGTGCCTCTCCATCAGTCTTTCCAAAGACTTGAGG